GTTAAATTATTCCTTTTCTTTCTGTTTGGGATTGCAGTGGATCTCAACCTATTTACCACTGTGGGTTGCATCCAATACTACCTGTATGGCCCTGAGGATGTCACATGGACTGCAGCTCTGTGCTGATTGGGCCGCAAGTGGCCGGTGAGCCATAGGTTGAGACTCCCACTGGGATAGATTATTGGGTGTCCCCATTTGAAGCTTCATCAGGACGATGAGCCAAATCTGAGGTGGAGGGGGGGTAAGTTCTGAGCTGGGTGAAACCTTGCTATGGGTTAAGTTAAAACCTCATTAAAAATAATGTGTGAATGTGCTCTTTTCTTACGATAGTTGTTAGATAGTCAAGAGTCTACCTCTAACACAAGGTTTAATATAGTTGGCCTAGAAACTAACACCATGTGGGTGGAGGGTTCCACTGGGTATTGTGACTAGGTGGGTGTGTGAAAAAGACAAGCTGGGTTGCAAACAAGAATGGAGACAGACTCAGGCTTTGTCTACACTACAGAGTTTTATCAACAAAAGGCAGCTTTTGTTGACAAAACAGTGGATGCATGCACTCCACAATGAGACTTTGGTGGCAAAAGTGCCCTGTTTTGGTGACAAAATGAAACCACCCTGATGAAAGACATAAGGCTTTTTGTGCCAACGTTTTGTTGAGAAAGTGCCAGTGTAGACACGATGCTTCATTTTATTACTTTAATTGGCTTCCAGGAGGTGTCCCACCATGCCCATCCTGACCATTCTGGTCACCAGTTTGAACTCCACTGTCCTGCAGCCAGGTAAACAGCCATACACTCCTTCCGCTTTAAAGTCCCGGGAATTTTTGAAATTCCATTTCCTGTTTGCTCCACATGGAGAGGTCTCATTGCATCTTCCCAGGTGACCATGGCAGTCGGATGCACCAAACGCTGTCCAGATCGGACCATTGCAGAGTTTCTGGATCTGCTCAGTATTTGGGGAGAGGAGGCTGGGCAATCCCAGGTGCACTTCAGCTGTAGGAATTTTGACACCAATTGGAAAATTTCTCAAGGCTTGTGTGAAAAGGGGTATGACTAGAACACAATGCAGTGCACAGCGAAGATAAAGATACTGGGCAAGTCATACCAGAAGGCCAGGGAGGCAAACCGTCACTCCAGTCATGCACCCAACACCAGCCGGTTCTATAGGGAGTTGGATGATATTCTTGGCAGTGCCCCCACCTCCACCGCCAAGAGCCCCATGGATACTTCGGCGGGCCTGGAGGCAGTGGAAAGAGGGCCTAACCTGGAGGACGAAGTCGTTGATGAAGAAGTGGCATTAGATGACAATGTGGAGCTCCTGGTGGTGTCACCCAGTGGGGCAGGCAGCCAGGAACTGTTCACCACTCCAGAGCTGTCTAGACAGTCTCAGCATTTGCTCTCCAGGGAGCAAGAAGTAGGAGAGGAGCTGCCCGGTGCTTTGCTTTGTGAGGTGTGGAGGTGGGTTGAGGGCATAGACTTGTACAAGGCTGGCTGTGTTTCTATGTGCTGGACATTTCTCTGTGCAGCTAATCCGTACAGTAGAACAGGGTGTCAATGCACACTGAGATCTCATGGGAATCCTCCAGAGAGAGCTCTAGGAAACTTTCTTGGAGGTACTCAGTAATCCTCTGCTGAAGGTTCCTTGGCAGAGATGCTTTGTTCCTTCCTCCACTGTAGGAAATCCGCAATCACGCGTGCAGGGACCGAAGCGGCACACAGCCGAGCAATATAGGTTCTAGGGTGGAAGCCACAAGCGTATAGTAGATGAACCCTCGCTTTTCTGCTTACCCTAAGGGGTGAGATATCGGCTTCAATGACCCCGTGGCAGGGTGACGACTCACCGGCACGGTGCCTCCTGCTGGTCGTCTCAGGAATTAGCTCTTCCAGCCCAAAGCGCCCTCTGCAGGCGGGTGGCTCGCCCGCCACTGGCCCCGTGTCCCTGCTGGACCCCGTTGCCCCTCTACTTCAGGGTTCTGTCCCCAGCAGCAACCCACAATCTGGGTCTCCCCACCCAGGGGAACCCCCAACCCTCTATCCCCACCTTGCCTCAGTGGCTACTGCCAGTCATCATCTAGCCTCCGCTCACTGGGGCTGACGGCAGTCTGTAAACCACTCATCATTGGCAAGGGGGTTAGGACCTGCTGCCTTTGACTATCTCTGGGCTGCCCCTCTGCAGCCCCAGTACCCTTTTGTAAGCCTTTAACTAGGCCTCAGCCTGGGGTTCTGCTAGGCTGGAGCTCCCCAGATCCCTCTGCCCTTCCTCAGCACTGCTCCACCCTAGGTACCCTCCTCAGCTCCCAGGAAGCCAGGTCCTTCGCTCTCAAAAAAGCTAGAGAGAATCTGTTTCAGTCTCTGGCCCTCAGCCCTCTTACAGGGCCAGCCATGGCCTGATTGGGGCATGGTCCCACCTGTGGCTGCTTTCCCCCAATCAGCCTAGCTTTCCCCCGCCCCATCACTCTTCCAGGGCTGTTTTAAGCCCTTCAGGGCAGGAGTGGGGTGACCACCCCGCTACAGACCCCCACCTGTGGAAAAGTGTGGGAGAATTTTGTCCCAAGTCAGCTGTACCATGACCCTTCCAGAGTGCTCTTTTCCCTCTGTAGAGCGCCCCCCCCCAGCCAACACTCAGAATATTTGAGGTGTTTTCTGAGATATGTGCTTGCCAAGGGTCAGTGAGAAAGTGATTGTTATGTTACCAAAGGTGTATTTAACTGAAACGTTTCAGTGCTGTGCGTGAATTTAACAATCATGCCTCTGTGTATTGCTTCTTGTGCTTCTGCAGATGTGGCCTTCAGGGGCACTCCCTACATATTGGTGGAGTGTCTCTACCAGATAAGAGAGCGACCAAGAGGGAGCAAAGACGACATGTTCCGGGAGGTACTGCAGATCTCCAATGCAGAGAAAAGGGAATGCAGGGAGTGGAGGGAAACTGAAAGGCAGGTCAGAGGCTAATGAGAACAATTTTTCTCCCTCCTCCTTGTAACAACCTTTTATGGACTTGAAAACTGTTATCATGTCCCCTCTCAGTCTTCTCTTCTCCAGACTAAACAAACCCACGTTTTTTAATCTTCCCTCATAAATCATTCTCATTGAGGTCTAACCTGCCATAAAAGCATCACCAGTGTGCCTTTAATCTGCCAAAGGCACATTCCACTGTCATCCAGCCTGTTGTTGAACTGCTTCTTACTGCTGTCCAGGTGTCCCGTGTAAGGTTTCATGAGCTATGGCTGTAAGGGGTTAGCCGGGTCTCCCAGGATCACTATGGGCATTTCAGCATCACCCCACTGTAATCTTCTGGTCTGAAAAGAAAGTTTCCTGAGTGCAGTTTTCTGTACAGGCTGGTGTTCCTGAAGATATGTGCATTATGCACCTTCCTAGACCACTCCATGTTGATGTCAGTGAAACACCCACTAAGGTCCACAAGTGTCTGCAACACTACGGAGAAGTACCCCTTCCTATTGAAATACCCTGTTGCAAGGCAGTCTGCTGCCAAAATTGGAACACTTGTGCCATCTATCACCCCTCTGCAGTTAGGGAAACCCATTTTTGCAAAGCTGTCCAGTATTTCACACACATTTCCCAGCGTCACAGTCCTTAGTAGCAGGATGCAATTAATGGTCCTGCACACTTGTGATAACGCGGCCCCAACTGTCGACTTCCCCACTTCAAATTGATTTGTGACTGACGAGTAGCAGTCTGGAGTCGCCAGCAATTGCCACATGTTTCTCTACCAAGAGGGCCGCTTTCATTCTTGTGTCCTTGTGCCACAAGTCTGGGGCAAGCTTAAACAGTTCCAGGAAGGTGGCTTTCCACATCCGAAAGTGCTGTAGCCACTGCTCATCATCCCAGACTGGCATGACAATATGATCCCACCACTCAATGCTTGTTTCTCAAGCCCAAAAGCAATGGTCCACCATGTTCAACTGTTCTATGAATGCCAAAAGAAATCAAAAGTGGCTCCTCTCCATATCACACCACAGGTCAGGCAACTGGGAGTCCTGTTCAATTAGGAACTACATGATTAACTGCGCTGCCATTCATGATGTGTTAATGACAGTTATCAGAGCATAGGAGAGTAGTGCGGGATTCATCCCTTCACACAGAGATACTGGGGCGCACAGCAAACAAGAGTCATTAAACAACACTGTGAAAGAAAGCCAGAAACCCATGCAATGCTGGGATGGAAAACAATGCATCATAGGACATTGAGTCCAGTCCCGAGATGAGCCACGATTTGCTCCACCTTCCTGCAAGAGTTAGCAGCAGAAGTTGTCGAGCTGGACTGTTGGATAGGTACCCCACAATGCACTGCTCGCACTATCGATGATAGTGCCCAAAGTGTGGATGCGCTCTGCTGACAGAGGGAGCGTAGCATGAACATGCAATACCAATTTTTATTATAATGCTTTTTGTGTGATGACATAACTCTGTACTGTAGACAAGGTCTCAGAGCCAGCAAAAAGCAATAAAGTCGAGCAGCCGTCTGGTCTTGAGAGAGAGTTTTTGCATCTGGTGTTGTCTAAAGAGGATTGGGGCTGTTTCTCCTGCATTTGGAGAAGAAGGACTTTGTGCTTTCCTTGTAAAGAAACAAGATACCAGACCCCATCCTCACTTTCTGCGCCAAACTGGGACATCCCGGGGCCTTGAACTCTGACTATCCGCTTGGGTCAGAAAGGGGCAACAATATCGAGTGAATGTTCTCTGTCTACAAACTAAATCCTGCCATGGATAAGGAGTCTGGGATGTGAATGAAAACTGGGAGTTATCTCAGAAGGGTTTATTAGATGGCCTGTGTAAGGAGCACAGGGGCTCAGCCCTGCCGCTTTCACAGCCAACAGGAATTCTGTCTGCCTTCGGGTTCCAGGATTTGGCCCTTCAGTCAATACGGGACAGGGTCTTTATTTTTGCTGTTTTTTCCCCCCACTTGATATTATTTTAAAACAAGGAATAAATGTATAACACCCGCTAAAGAACTGAACAAAGAACAGACCAAAAAGGGATTTCTTACCCACTGCTGCTGGGGGCTTCAGTGGCCCTGATCGTCTCTGTCTTGTGGTAGTAGAGTTCCTTTAGCAAAGTCTTCTGCAGCTGTGGAGAATCGTATTTCTGAAATTCCCGACTCGAGACAAGGAAAACCTGTGGGGAGCTCATCCCTATTCTGGACAGGTTGTTGACGCAGTCGTTTCTGATTTTATCCAGGGTTGTCTCCTCGTTGAAGCTTTTTTTGTGTTTCTCATTTAACAGGTCCAAGTCCACTTTGGAGCGCACAAAGTAAGACTTCTTTCCCAGCCCGGTGAGCTCCCGGGCCAGCTCGGTGAGGCAGAATCTGCTCCTCTCTGAAGCGATGATGATGAAGACATCGTAGCGGCTGAACTTCACTTCTCTCAAATAAGCGTCGGGCCGAAAATCTGTGGTCCCGATCGAGGGCAGGTCCCAGACAAGCATTATGGGACACATAGGATGCCAATATGGTACTGGTTTTTTGGTCTTTTTCAGCACACCCGTTTCAGGAGCATCTTCATGTTTGTCTTTATCTTCCAGGCCCCGGATGGCACTGACCAAAGATGATTTGCCAGATCCCGGCTCCCCTGTGATGGCGATATTGAACTCAATGCCTGACAAATTCTTGAATGTCTGCACCACAGAAGCTGCTTCTAAGAAGTTTCCTGCTTTGATAGCAGCCTCGATCTGTTTAGTTTGTTCCACGGACATACCAGGAAGAATATTTCTACATTCTGCATATAGGTCATCCCAGGTAGGATTGAAATCAGCCATCTCCCTGGGAAAAGAAATGGTCACGGTTAGTCCTGTTTCCCACACAGGCTCCCCCAGCACATTGTAAGCTGGAGACCAGTATCTAAATATCCCAGACATATAACATATGTTAATGTGAAACACATGGAGACCTGGGAGAAAGGTCAGAATTTAGGGGGAGAATGGGCTGATATAGCAGGGATAAAGGAGAGACAAGACAGAACTGGGGGGGGGGGGATCAAATCAGTATCTTAGATGTCTGTATACTAATGCGAGAAGTATGGGGAATAAGCAGGAAGAACTCAAACTGCTAGTAAATAAACACAACTATGACATAGTTGGCATCACAGAGACTTGGTGGGATAATACGCATGACTGGAATGTTGGTGTGGATGGATACAGCTTGCTCAGGAAGGGTAGACAAGGGAAAAAGGGAGACGGTGTTGCCTTATATATTAAGAATGTACACACCTGGTTTGAGGATGAGATGGACATAGGAGACAGACTTGTTGAAAGTCTCTGGATCAGGATAAAAGGGGTAAAAAAACCAAGGTGATGCCATGGTAGGGGTCATCTACAGACCACCTAACCAGAAAGAAGAGGTGGATGAGGCTTTTTTTAACAACTAACAAAATCAGCCAAAGCACAGGATTTAGTGGTGATGAGGGACTTGGACTACCCAGACATCTGTTGGGAAAATAAAACAGCCGGGCACAGATTATCCAACAAGTTCTTGGAATGTATTGGAGACCATTTTTTTTATTTCAGAAGGTGGAGACAGCTACCAGGGGAGAGGCTGTTCTAGATATGATTTTGACAAAGAGGGAGGAACTGGTTGAGAATTTGAAAGTGGAAGGCAGCTTGGGTGAAAGTGATGACAACATGATATAGTTCATGATTCTAAGGAATGGTAGGAAGGAAAAGAGCACAATAAAGACAATGGATTTCAAGAAGGCAGACTTTAGAAAACTCAGGGAGTTGGAAGGTAAGATCCCATGGGAAGCAAGTTTAAGAGCAAAAACAATAGAAGAGAGTTCGCAATTTTTCAAAGAGATATTATTAAGGGCACAAGAGCAAAGTATCCCCCTGCACAGGAAAGATAGAAAGTTTGGCAAGAGACCACAGTGGCTTAACCAGGAGATCTTCAATGATCTAAAACTAAAAAAAGAGTCCTACAAAAAGTGGAAACTCGGTCAAATTACAAAGGATGAATATAAACAACTAACACAAGTATGTAGGGACAAAATTAGAAAGGCGAAGGCACAAAATGAGATCAAACTAGCCAGAGACATAAAGGGTACCAAGAAAACATTCTACAAATACATTAGAAGCAAGAGGAAGACCAAGGATAGGGTAAGCCTGTTACTCAATGGAGGGTGGGTGGGAGGGAAATAATAACAGGAAATGTGGAAATGGCAGAGGTGCTTGATGACATGGTATATCTTGACTTCCTTAAAGCTTTTGATCTTGTCTCACATGGCCTTCTTATAAACAAACTAGAGAAATGCAACCTAGATGGAGCTACTATAAGGTGGGTGCAAAACTGGTTGGAAAACTGTTCCCAGAGAGTAGTTATCAGTGGTTCACAGTCATGCTGGAAGGGCATAATGAGTGGGGTCCCGCAGGGATCAGTTCTGGGTCCAGTTCTGTTCAATATCTTCATCAATGATTTAGATCATGGCATAGAGAGCACACTTATAAAGTTTGCAGATGATACCACACTGGGAGGGGTTGCAATTGTCTTGGAGGACAGGATTAAAATTTAAAATGATCTGGACAAATTGGAGAAATGGTTTGAAGTAAATAGGATGACATTCAATAGGGACAAATGCAAAGTACTCCACTTAGGAAGGAACAATCAGTTGCACACATACAAAATGCGAAATGACTGCCTAGGAAGGAATACTGCAGAAAGGGATCTGGGGGTCATAGTGGACCACAAGCTAAATATGAGTCAACAATATAACAGTAACAATATAAAAGGAAACATCATTCTGGGATATATTAGCAGGAGTGTTGTAAGCAAGAAATGAGAAGTAATTCTTCTGCTCTACTTCGTGCTGATTAGGCCTCAACTGGAGCATGGTGTCCAGTTCTGGGTGCCACATTTCAAGAAAGATGTGGACAAATAGGAGAAAGTCCAAAGAAGAGCAACAAAAATTATTAAAGGTCTAGAAAACATGACCTATGAGGGAAGATTAAAAAACTGGGTTTGTTTAGCCTGGAGAAGAGAAGTCTGAGAGGGGACATGATAACAGTTTTCAAGTACATAAAAGGTTGTTACACAGAGGAGGGAGAAAAATTGTTCTCATTAGCCTCTGAGGATAGGACAAGAAGCAAGGGGCTTAAATTGCAGCAAGGGAGGTTTAGGTTGGACATTAGGAATCTCCATCATTGGGGATTTTTAAGAGCAGGTTGGATAAACACCTGCCAGGGATGATCTAGATAATACTTAGTCCTGCCTTGAGTACAGGGAACTGGACTAGATGACATCTCGAGGTCCCTTCCAGTCCTAAAATTCTATGATTCCTCTCAGTCTTCTATTCTCCAGACTACACAATTTTAAATTTAATCTTGCATGATAAAGAGTAATAGTGTTATTATTTAAAGTGATATGCGCATTTAAGGGGCTGTGTTAAAGGTTAAAGTTATAACAAATGGTACCCATAAGATATTAGTAGTAGCATCGGGCCCGATGACCCACACTAGTGGTGGTGAGGGAGTTGATAAATCTATGTATTAATTGCCACCAAGACGCCACAGTAACTCAGAACTTGTATGGTTCAAGCTACCTTATTTCAGTCCCCTCAACTCTCCAGAACTGCACCTCTGAGCCGCCTGCCTCAGTTTCCCCCAGCTGTTTGGCAAGTCCTGACAGAGGGGAAAGACCTCTTGATCAGCTACGAGCCATCGAGGGAAGAGAGGGAACGCGCCCCCATCCCTCTATCGTTTACTTGGGACTTATTGAACTAAGTGTAAAAACCGGTTTGGGGTGGTGTTTCCTGTTGTTTCTGTGAAGGAACGCCTTCAGCTTCAGAGTAAGGAACAGCAGAGTGTTCATTATATGGTTTATTACATAGGCTAGTCAATAGTGAAGTTTTAGAATTGAATTAGTTCTATGTTACATGTTAAGATGAGTGGAGCAAGGGCAAAAGTAAAGTTTGTTGGAGTTATCCGCAGCCTGGCTTTAGAAAACTTTGCCAGAAAATACATTCAGGAACATGGAGGAGGTTTCACAGCTGAGAAATAGCAAGATAATCACTGGGCTCTGTAACCCATGTGGTTTTGTAAGTGAAGTGTTTGATGTAAAAACAGAGCAAAAAAAAAAAGCTAAACTGGTAAAGGAAATGGCTGTTAAATATCTGCTCGTGGCTTGTAGTTCGCTAGGAAAGAAATTGAATAAAAAAATTACTCAAGAAAGCCCAACAAACTTTGAATGAGGGAGGAAAGATTATTCAGGATTTAACAAATCGTCTACATGTAGTGTCAAAGAAGCAGTCAGTACTTTTCTAAAAGAAGCAGAAGTTAAAGAAAACGTTAGAACGGTGTAGGTACCAGGTACAGAAAGCAGGAGAGGAAGCATGTTGTTGGCAGAAGCAAGTGGATGCCAGCTTAAAATTGCTGGACAGCTATAAATCAGACCGTGGTCGGCTGTTGGAAAGAATCAAAGAGTTGAAAAAAATAAAAGATGTGTTAAAGGAGAACAAAGAATCGGTTCCCATCCCTATCGGCATGGTGGAACTGATGGAGATAGAAAAACCTGCTCGGTCAATTATTAGTAGTAGGGTGAGCGAGTTAGTTCAGGTTGATACAGTACCTTTAGGAGCGGAGTTGGAGACTAAGTCTCAGGAGCCACAGGGAGAGTCAAAAGAGAAAGCTAGCAGTGGAGAAGTTACTAGCAGTCTGCAGATAGAAAAAGGAAGTCCCAGGGTGGCATCACAGGAGGTGGAGTTAAGTGTCATCGCAGAGGAGGCAACAAGTGATGTGAAGGATGCAATTCCTGCTCCTCCACCCAATGTTACATTGGCACCATATAGATCAGGAGACCCAGCCCCTTTGGGTGGACACTTATTGACATTTGGGCGATCATAAACATTGCCTAGGTCTCTAGAATTTCGTGGTCCCTCTACACCCCCTTGGTATATGCTGGTATCACCTGGTCTATTGGTAAAACACCCTACTACCCCAGATCTTAATGGACTAAAAGATGTCCTGCATCATTGTGGAGATGCCTTGAGTGTAGAACGTATAGGTTTTATGGAAAGTTACCCTGCTCATCCAGGATTATTTCCAGAGGAAAATTCTAATAGTTCTGATAAGAAAAATGTGGATTTGGGTAGGAGAAGTCAAAACATAAAAATTATAAATTCAAACTCAGATAGAAGCCCAGATCCCAATCTGAAGAGAAAATCCTCAGATTCTAATTCTGATTGCCCTGTAGCAGTTGTTACAGATATTAAGACCCTAGATCTGGTAGCTAAGCAAGTAGGGATGACGAAGGATTCTTCGGTTGCAATGCATTCACAACAATGTACAAGAAACAGCAAAAGTGTTTGGCTTAGCAAGGAAAGACTGGGTTAAAATCTTACCACTCACAGTAAATCGAGCATTATGAAGCACTTTGCCACTTGAGTTTAGGGTAGGAGAGAGATCTTTTAAAGGCACAGTAGCCCTATTGGAACATAATCAGCATATGGGGCAAGCTGGAGTGGCCATCCTGTCTAACCTAAAACAGAGACCTAATGAGTCCCCACATCAGTTTCACCTGCGGTTAAGTGCAGCATGGCACAGTCACAGGGCAGAGGAAACAGATGAGCCACCATACGTTAGTTTGTTGGTCAATAACTCTTTTCCCCATTTGCAGGAAATGGTTAACATGCATATAACTGATAGCACTTCTTTGAAGGAGGCATTAGCCTTACTGGCCAAGGCATATTCTCAAGGAGGCCCTAAAATAGGTCGGCGTGAAGCCCCTGTTGCAATACTTCAGGAACCATGAGCTAATCCCACCATGAGGATTGAGGGACCCGCAGGGTTAGGCCGAGGTGTTCCTAAATTCCCTAGGTACCAGCGTTGGCAAAATGACCCTAACCCAGGTAATAATCCTGGACCTTCAAGTGGGTGTGTCCCTCAACAGGGTTATGCATTTGGACCCCATGTAGGGGCCCGGGACCATGTCCCTTTCTTTTCAGATGCTGCCCAGAACAATTCACACCTGCAGAGATCCAAGTCACCACCTCCCCACAGAGATGAGGACTCAGTTGTAATGATGTTGAAAACAGTGCAGCAGACGCTTGAGGCTCAACGACGGGCTATCCAGGAACTCCCAGCACGCGTGAATGAGCTGATAATGGAAGGCCAAGGCCCAGCATCCTCGAACCGTTGACCCATTTTCTTCTCTCCGGTGGCCAGCCTCTCCTCCTCCAGAGTTGGCTGCCTCCAGAGAGATAGAAGGAGAACCCGTAGATTATTTGTCTGCATACTCTACAAATTACTCGTCATGACGCCAACCAGCCCCACACGTAGTCATAGCCCCTTTAGGCAGGGATGCAAGTGGGAGACCCACAATATCTGCAGTGGTGGGGGGCCACCACAGGAATTTTATTATAGATACTGGGGCAGCAATTAGCATTATCCATGTCAAGGATCCTAGATCCTCTTCTCTGTCATCAGGGCATACGGAAACACTTGCAACTTTTGCAAGCAATCAGCTTGTTACCACACTTTCTAAATCCATGGTAAGAAAGGTTCATACCTTTGTGTTGATGAAATTAACAGACCCAAGAAATTGCCTGTTGGAAACTGATTTCCTATACAAACAGGGATGTGTTCTTGATTTGGGTAACCAATTGTTGTGTCTGACCATAGAACAGGCAAAGGATGACCCACCAGTGATCATACCTGAGTGTGGCATGGTGTCCCCAGTGGAGGACTCTGAACACATTTATGGTAGCCTATGCAACCTTTACTCTGCCCCTTGCGTATCTGGCCCGGACACTGAAGGAGGCAGGGGAAATATGGAAAAAACAGGAGTTGTTTGGTTTTAATCATTATTTATTATTTGTAGCTCTTGTCCCCTAACAGCCCTACTCTACTTGCGCTACATTGATGTCATCTTCATCATCTGGACACATGGGAAGGAGGAATTCCACCAGGATTTCAACAATTTCCAACCCGCCATCAATCTCAGCCTGGACCAGTCCGCACAAGAGATCCACTTCCTGGACACTACAGTGCAAATAAGCGATAGTCACATAAACACCACCCTATACCGGAAACCTACTGACCGCTACACTTACCTACATGCCTCCAGCTTTCACCCAGACTACATCACACAATCCATTGTCTACAGCCAAGTTCTAAGATACAATCGCAGTTGCTCCAATCCCTGAGACAGAGACAAACCCCTACAGGATCTCTATCAAGCATTCTTAAAACTACAATACCCACCTGGTGAAGTGAAGTGAAGAAACAGATTGACAGAGCCAGACGAGTACCCAGAAGTCACCTACTACAGGACAGGCCCAACAAAGAAAGTAACAGAACGCCACTAGCCGTCACCTTCAGCCCCAACTAAAACCTCTCCAGCGCATCATAACCTATCCTGAAGGACGATCCATCACTCTCACAGATCTTGGGAGACAGGCCAGTCCTTGCTTACAGACAGCCCCCAACCTGAAGCAAATACTCACCAGCAACTAGACATCACACAACAAAAACAAAAACACTAACCCAGGAACCTATCCCTGCAACAAACCCCATTGTCAATTCTGTCCACATATCTATTCAAGGGACACCATCATAGGACCTAACCACATCAGCCATACCATCAGGGGTTCATTCACCTGCACATCTACCAATGTGATATATGCCATCAGGTGCCAGCAATGCCCCTCTGCCATGTACATTGGCCAAACTGGACAGTTTCTACACAAAAGAATAAATGGACACAAATCAGACGTCAAGATTTATAACATACAAAAACCAGTCGGAGAACTTTTCAACCTCCCTGGTCACTCAATTATAGATCTAAAAGTCGCAATTCTTCAACAAAAAAACTTCAAAAACAGACTTCAACAAGAAACTGCAGAACTGGAATTAATTTGCAAACTGGACACCATTAAATTAGGCTTGAATAAAGACTGGGAGTGGATGGGTCATTACACAAACTAAAAACTATTTCCCCATGCTAATTTCCCTCCTACTGTTACTCACACCTTCTTGTCAACTGTTTGAAATAGGCCATCCTGATTATATTTTCCACTCCATGCTTCTGATGAAGTGGATTTTAGCCCATGAAAGCTTATGCCCAAATAAATTTGTTAGTCTCTAAGGTGCCAGAAGTACTCCTCGCTCTTTTTGAAAACTGGAGTAATAGAAATCGGATGGAATTTAATAGTGTAAAGTACAAGCTCATGCACTTAGGGATTAGTCAGAATTTTTGCTATAAACTGGGGGTGTATCAGTTGGAAGCAAAAGAGGAAGAGAAAGAGTTGGGTGTGTTGGTCGATCACAGGTTGACTATGAGCCGCCAAGGTGATGCAGCTATGAAAAAGGCTAATGCAATCTTAGGAAGCATCAGGCAAGGGATTTTCAGTAGAGATAGCAAAGATACCATTATACAAGGCACTGGTGAGATCTCATCTGGAACACTGTGTACAGTTCTGGTCTCCCGTGTTCAAGAAAGATGAATTCAAACAGGAACAGGTGCAGAGAAGGGCTATGAGGATGACCAGAAAAATGGAAAACCTGTCTTATGAGAGGAGACTTAAGGAGCTTGCCTTCTTTAGCCTAACCAAACAAAGGCTGAGGGGAGATATGATCGGTCTCTATAAATACACCAGAGGGATAAATAGCAGGGAGGGGAAGTTTAAGTTCCATGCCAGTGGTGCACAAGAACAAATGGATATAAACTGGCCATCAATAAATGTTGGCTTGAAGTTAGGTGAAAGTTTCTAACCATCAGAGGAATGAAGTTCTGGAACAGCCTTCCAAGGGCAGCAGTGGGGGCGAAAAAACTAACTAGCTTCAAGACTGAGCTTGATAAGTTTATGAAAGGGATGCTACGCTGAGACAATGGCACGTGGCCCGTCTGCCACTGCTAGTGCAAGTATCTCCAGCCATTAGTGGAAGAGCTGGGATAGGACTGGTCTTTGGGCTTGCAGTTCATTGTCCCTTCCCCTTGGTGCCAGGGCACTGTTTCTCATTTGGCTGCGCAGTCTGGGTCTGGTTCCCGTGAGGACTCTGTCAAACCCAATTGTTAGTCTCCCCCCGTCAGTTAACAGCTGTTGTGGGAAGTCATGGCTGAGGAGGAAGAAAGCCGATATCTCAGGCAGGTGGGGCCAGTGTCAAGCAGGGCTTTGAAAGTGAGGGCAAGGGGCCTAAACTCTGTGTTCAATGGGGAGCCAGAGCAAACAGCAAAGAAGCTGTGGGGCTGGGCAGACGCTGCTGCACTGTGAACCAAGCGGCGCATTCTCAGAGCTCGGCCTCCATTTCCTGAAGACAGAGAACTGCAGCAGTCTTATCAGGGCATTTACCACCTAACTCTGTGGCCAGCTCAGTAGCTGATAAGATCAGGTGTGATCTGCTCATGGGCAGCAGATAGATGGGAGGGTGTTCTGCTGGGGGAGGGCGCAGGAGCAGGGCAGAATCAGACTGGCCTGCACAGATGCAGACGGTTCAGCTAAATGGGATTCCCAGCGGTGATGTGGGTATTTTGGTGCAGGTCTGTGTGGAAGGTCTGACTGTGGAATAAACCTGGCTTAGGGTGGAGTCAGCTATGGCTGGTAACAAACCCAATTTAGCTAATTCTGTTCTAGCCACGTTGCTTCCAAGATAGGAGTGTCCACACAGCCTGGCACAGGAATACCCGCTCCAGTTAAACCAGCACTGGAGGTGCCCAAGGCCATGGGCCCATCTAACTGTCTAGGGCCAAGGGATGGGCTTGCTCTGGCAGAGTTCTCCAAAGAATTCCCCTCTCACTGCCAGAGTCAGCGCCGCCTCATGTGGGGTGGCTGCTGCCACTCCTCTCGCCCCAGTGCTGATGTTGGCCAGGCAGCAAGAGGCCTAAGAGACAGGGCAGGTAACATTGGCCACGAAGCCAGAGCAAAGCTAGGTGTGGTCTGTGCCCTGCTGGCCCCCCAACCTGGGCATCTTGGCAGCACAGGTCTCCTGAGATGCTGAATGGGGAGGGCAGTGGATGAGCCCCAGGAGATGGGAGTCCTGGAGGTTGAGGAGTAGTTGCCCAGAATGGCCCTGGGCTTCGGTCAGAGATGAAAGGCTGGAGACCTGCAGCAGGAGCAGAGTGGCTGCACCCCTGGCCTGTGGGCAGGAGCCGGTCACTCAGAGCCCGAGGGCTGGAGCCTGGTAGGGACAGGGCAGGAGCTGCTCTCAAAGTGGGGGAGCACTCAGTTTGCACAGGCGGAATAAGCAGACCTGCTGTCAGGTGCAACGCTGGGTTTATGCCTTAGTCACCAGGATTCACAGAGCCTCCTCCTGCAGTACAAACACCTCATCCCCAGCCCCACCCCTGAACCTGCACCCCTAGCCAGAGCCCTCATACCCGCATTGCCCCCCAACCCCCTGCCCCAGCCCAGTGAGTGTGAGTGAGGGTGGGGGAGAGCCACCGTGAGAAGGGGAATGTAGTGAGTGGGGGATGGGGCCTCGGGGGAATGGGCGGGGCAAGGGGCGGGGCCTCAAGGAAGGGGCGGGTCTAGGGTGTTTGGTTTTGTGAGATTAGAAAGTTGGCAACACTCACACACACACACACTGCAGGGCTCAGCCCCTCCAGCAGGGGGCCGGAGGGACAGAGACACACACACACACAGAGTAGGGCACATCCCACACATCAGGGACACACACACACACTTAAGGGCTTTGTCTGCACTAGAAGGAAAGGTGTGGTGTTGTTAACGTGTGTGAGGTTACCGGTGTTAACATCCTAACACAGGCCAGGCCAGTTAGCAAGGGACCCCTTTTCCCCTCGTCCAGACAAAGCTTTGGCACATTTCGAAGACGCGAGGCTGCTCTCACCTTCCATTTTCTCACTGATCTGAAAGCTCGTCACAGGATGCACCCCCTGGATGACTGTCTGCCCCCTTCTTTGGAGCCCTGGTTCACCAAAGCATTTCAAGGCCTGCAGAACGTTAAACCCCTGAGCAGCAAACTCACTGAAGTCTCGTGTTTAAAGTGATGCTTAAGCATTTTGTTAGGGTATTGGGGAGTAGCAGTGTTAACCCACAAGACTCTCTGCCACTTGGCATTGACAGTGTTAACCAGAGGGACTCCCTGCCACTGGGAATTAGCAGGGTTAACCCATGGGACTCCCTGCCATTTGATGGGAGCTGGTTGCAGATAGCATGAGACTACTTCCCAGGGTAGGAATTCAAACCTGCACCTCCCAAAACTCTGTTCCCAGCTCTGTACCAAAACCTCCCTCGCAGACTTTGGCCGACAGTTTCCAAAGCGGCCTGTAATTCACGTCCACCTGCTCTAGGAGCATGGCCAGTGGGAGAAGAGGCAGGAGTTGGTTGTGATGGATATACGTAGTTTGGAAGGGTACGATTTTCATCAGTAAATGTCGCTAAACATCAATTGCACCAGACACACCCAAACCAAGGAACAGATATTTGCATTGATAATAACAAAACTTTGTGATAGGCCTCGTCAGACAAATGCTTGTTGAGAACTTATTAGAGTTTGATTTTAGGCTCTTCACTTTGCAGATTTTGACAGGTGATGTTGACAATTTGTGCTTCAACTTTTTGAATCTCAACATTTACAGTTATGCAGATAAAAATACACAGGATCTTTTCAGGGGACAAGGTAATATGACATATTTATTATGAGAACACAATTTGATTTATAACCAATACCTACATACACACAGAGCGAGAGCACAAGGCTCCTTCCAACAGGGGGCAGCAGGGACACACACACACACACACACACACACACACACACACAC